TGCAACGCGCGCGTTCCTTCTTCGTTCCTCCGTGCCGAGTCGCCCCCCCCCTATCGTGCCCCCATCCCAACGTTGGTTTCCCATTTCCCCCTACCTCCTAGTCATCCTCTTCCTCTCCCTTGTCTCCCCGCTGCCCGAGAGCGCGCCTGATCGGGGATTGGGCGGAGCGGGCGGAGGGAGGGAAGGGGGGTAGGGAAGGGAGAGAGATAGAGAGAGATGGGGGAGACAGAGGGGTCGGGATACTGCAAGACATACATTCATAAATATACATACATATACACATAGAGAGAGAGAGGGAGGCGGAGCAACAGAAAGGGACAACAGGGAACAACATAAGATTGACATCGCATCTTCGGCCTCTTCGGCAGGCCTGGCAGGAGGGAGGAGCGAGAGATCCCAATATCAACGAAGCCAGGGGAGAGAGAGAGGGATATATATATATAGAGAGAGAGAGAGAGAGAGAGAGAGAGAGAGAGAGAGAGAGAGAGAGAGAGAGAGAGAGACCCCAGGGAGGGAGGGAGGGCAGAGAGAGAGAGAGAGAGAGGGAGGACAGGGGCGAGCGATCGCAGTTTTGCTCAAGATGGAGCCCACGGATCAGCCCGCAGCGTGGGTGCGGGCCGCGTTCTTGCCCCCCATCCAGGCCTTGCCGTCCTTAGAGAGCGGCGCGCTCGAGCCGGCCGGAGGGGCCAGCTGACCCTACGTCAGCCCGCATGGCAGCGCCCCCCACATCATGTGGATTTCCAGGCGCCTACGTGGTGGCCGCTGCGTGCGCCTGCGGTCTGGGACGCGCCGTGGGCGCCAGATCTCATTGTGCTCCCTGCCCTTACGTGGGCTTGGCCAATCCGCGGGTGGCATTTCCCGCCAGCTACTCGCGGCTTGCAGTACCAGGATGGGTGGCCCGAGACCTGGTTCGTGCCCCTCGGCCGCGAGTGGTACGCGGCTCCGCCGCTCCTCTTCATGCTGCACCGCTGGGGGTGCCCTACTTTGGGGATCAAAGGTGTTGTCAGGTTTTTGTGTAGTTGAGCGCCCCCTTATCAGATAAGGCGGTGATCGTTTTTGTTCCTGTTGGGCTTATTGGCCCTGTCGGGGTCGGGGCGGCGCGATGGCCGCGCCGCGCCGCCCCTAGGTACATCGTGTAATCGTGTACATCCCGATCCACCACCGAGTGTGGATCAGGGGCTACAGCGGCCGCTTCACGGAGGCGCTGCGCGCGGGGACGGGCCGGGCCGCCCGCGCGGGGGCCTGAGCGAGGTCGCGCGGATAACCAAAACAAAAGGGGGGCGGGGGGGGGACAGGGAGGCGGGGGGGGGGGGTCATCTGCATGCAGTAGTTGCAAGAGGAGGCAGCGAGGCAAGGGGGGGCGAGAGGGCGGGGGGAAGGGCGAGGCGGCGACGGAGCTGGGGGCAGGAAGCGGGGGGAAGGGCATCTTCATCTGCAGCAGCTGCGGCAAGAGGCAGGGGCAGCGGGCTGAGAGGAACTTGGAAACAACCTGATTGGGGGGCGGAGGGAGGGGCTGAGGGACTGACTGGGCCCCCGACCGAACAGGGCCTTCCTGCTGGACAAGTGCCTGATCCCAGCCTCATTGTCGTGGGCGACGACGGCGCGTACCACGACTGCGACGTCACCAACGCCAGGTCGGGCGGGTTGCGAGTAAGGGGCTCTCACCCTTCTCACCCCCCCTCACCTTCCTCATCCCCATCCTCCTCATCCTCTTCGTCTTCCCCGTCCCCCCCTGCCCCTGCCCTGTCCTCCCATCGCCTAGTAGAGCGGGGGTGGGGTCAGGGCGGGGGAAGGGGGGGAGAAGGTGAAGGAGTAGGAAGGGGCGAAGGAAGACGATGAGGCGGACGACGACGCGCACATGCAAACGCACAGGATGATGAGGAGGAGTAGCAGAAGGAAATGAGGGCGAAGAGGGGGAGGAATATGAGGGGGAACATACGGAACATACGGACATGCACATGCAAACGCAACAGCATGAGGACGAACACCTGGATGATGATGATAACCATGAGGAAGATGATGATGATGATGACGATGATGACGATGATGATGACGATGGTAATGGTGATGATGAGGATGGTAAGGGCCAGGCGTACGATGTTGAGGATGATGAGGCGGATGAGGATGATGATGAGAGTCAGCGGGAGGAGGAGGAGGAGGAGGAGGGGTGCAAGGCGACGTGAGAAGGAGGCGAGGAGGTGGACATGGGGGCCATAGGGAAGAGGAGGGAGTTGGGGCCATCCGAGGCCGACGACGTGCTTCGTTGGCATCGGGTACCAGAGTGCGCAGGCGTGGCCAGAGGAGAAGGGCAGGCCGCACCCGCCTCCGCCTCCGGTGGCCCGGGAGCTCTACGTGGACAGCTGCAAGGCCCTGTGCGAGGACCCCGCGGGCGGCGGGGCGAGGGCCGAGGGGAGGCGGATGGGGCTGTCTTGGGGGACGGGGATTGGCAGGACTGCTGGGACTTCAGGGGTGGGGAGGGGTCGGAAGGAACTCTGCGCGGAGGTGGAATGGAAAGGGCCAGGGGGAGGGGGCGCGACCGGGGGGAGGGCGGCGGCAGCGGGGCGTGAGAAGGACACGAAGGAAAGCATAATGATGTGGAAGAGCGTCGTCGTCGTCGTCGTCGTCGTCGTCGTCGCGTCGTCGTCGTTGTTTCTACGCGCCCGATCCCGATCAGGACTGCAAGACGCTGGGCTGCGACAAGTGCAAGTTCTGCGTGCTGCACAGGGTGGGGCCTGGGGGGGGGGCGGTGGGGCGATGGAGGCAATGTCGTCGTCGTCGTCGTCGTCGTCGTCGTCGTCGTCGTCGTCGTCAGTTTTCGCGGTCTGCCGCGTGTTCTTCGGGAAGAGGCTCGAGGAAAGAGGAGGAGGATGAGGAGGAGGGGGAGGGGGAGGAGGAGGAGGGCGTTGCAGGAGGGCGAGGGGGGCACGAACAGCAGGAGCTTCGCGGTGGTTGGGACGGGGCGGAGGCGGCGGCGACGAGCAGGGAAAAGGGGAGGACGTCACGGACCGCTCGCTCACGCACGTGACGTTCGACGGTGGCCCCAAGACGCTGTCCAAGAAGAAGTGCGGCTGGTTCGTGCGCGGCGACGTCGCCTACCCGCTGCGCGGGGTCAAGAGCTTCATCTTCGATGGGGCCGAGACCGAGCACGGGACGTGGATCCCGAAGGTCGTCGTCGTCGTCGTCGGCGTCGGCGTCGTCGTCGTCAGAACGACGACCCGAAGATCCCCGAGCTCATCGGCGTCGCGTTTGTGGACAAACAGTGCGGCGCCCGCTGGGCGGGCGCCGCGGCGGCCGCGGCGGCCGCTTCTGGGTAGGGGGGCAGTGCACCGCTCGCCTGAGCGAGGGTGCACGGCGCGGGGGGCGGCCAGTGCACGGGGATAGGGATGCAGGTAAAGGGAGCGCGGAGACAGAAGGGTGGAGAGGGAACAGGGGGGGCAGGGAGGGGGGGCGGGGAGCGGGGAGGAGGAGGGAGAGAGGGAGAGGGGTATATTGGCATGGTGACGTCGTCGTCGTCGTCGTCGTCGTCGTCGTCGTTCGTCGTCGTCGTCGTCGTCGTCGTCGTCGTCGTCGTCGACGTTCGTCGTCGTCGTCGTCGTCGTCGTCGTCGTCGTCGTCGTCGTCGTCGTCGTCGTCGACGGCGTCATCGCCACCGTCATCAGGAGGAAGGGGGCGCGGGTGTCGGCTGCATGCCTCTGTGGGGCACTGCGTTGCAGTGCTAGCTGTAGCCTCTGCGCGTCATGCGCCCGCGCGCTGGCTCTGGCCGACCGCTTTCCGCGCCGCTCGAGCCCGCCGCCCTCGCAGCCCCAGGGGGGGGTGCTGATGGGCAGTTTTGGAGGCGGGCCATCATGACTCCTGAGCACGCCGACGCGTTCGTGCACCGTGCATGTGGTGCGCAGTTCGCACGCACTTGTAAGTTCGCGCGCTGTGGCGTTGCATCTTCGCGTCGCCTCATCGCCCGCGTCGCGCATTCGCTGTCTCGCATTCGTCGCATTCGTCTCGTTGTGCATCGCGTGGTCGTGACAGTCGCATCGGCCGACGTCGTGCACTGCACTTGCGTTTGCCTCTCACTCGTCTTCCCCCTCGTGCCAGCGAGGCGGAGGCAGCGGGGGCCTCCCGCCGCGCGGCCGCCTACGAGCGCGGCCGCGCGGCCGCTACGTCGCGCGCCCTGCGGCCCAGCGCCGCCTCCGCTGCTGCTGCAGCGGCTCGTTCACTCTAATATATTGAGTGGTTCCCGCAGTTGCTCTGAAAATGCGCCGCGGCAGTGCGCGGGGGGGGGTGGGGGGCCATTGCCAGACTGCCCTTCAGCAGAGAGGAGGGAGGGGGGGGGATACATATATATATATATATATATATACACGAATATAGGAGAGGAGGGAGGGCGGTCAAGAGGATCTGGAGGGCACCAATCTGATATGCATACCCTTATCCGTGCCCATGCACACGCACGCACATATATGTATATATATATATATATCTATGTATGCATCAGTGCATCCACCCATCGGCGTAGATATCTGGCCAGCCATGTAGCGTCAGATATATCTGGGGGTTGGAAGAAGAGGAGGAGGTCGGAGGAAGAAGAGGGGGCGGTAGCAGCAGGAGGGCGGGGGGAGAAGGTAGCAGCTGCAGGATGACGAATACGAAGAAGAGGAGGGCAGAGGAGTAGCAGGATGAGGTAGCAACTGGAGGAGGAGGAGGAGGAGGAGGAGGAGGTGGGATAGACGGTAGAGGAGAAGGAGGGCTCCTGAGGAGGAGGAGGACGAGTGGGGACGGTAGCAGAGGGAGACGTTTGGCAGCCGCCCGTCGGAATGCGAATCGAGGGACTAAGTCGCAGTGCACCTCTCGCGTTCATGACTCCCGTCACTTCCCCCATTTCCCTCCTCCCCGTCCCGTCCCTCACATTCCCACCTTCCTCCCTTTCGCTTTCTCCTCCCCCCCCCCCGTCCCTCGCATTCCCACCTTCCCCTCCCCTCTACCCTTGCACCCTGCCGCCGGGCGCCTCAAAAGTAGGGCTGCGTGTCGAGCGACTCCTGCCAATCCTGCGTTCCGCACGTCTGCTCATCCGCGTGCAGGCCGCCCAGGCCCAAACTCGGGTATGGCTGCGTGTCGAGCGCCCACTGCGTGACCAGCGGCGGCGGTGGCCTGGGCCTGGGCACTGGCTGGGCGGCGGCCTGCTTCGGGTCCTGCGCCTCCTTCGGGTCCTGCTCCGTCGGGCCCTGCGCCTCCTTCGGGTCCTGCGCCTCCTTCGGGTCCTGCGCCTCCTTCGGGTCCTGCGCCTCCTTCGGGTCCTTCGGGCCCTGCTCCTTCGGGTCCTCGCCCTCCTTCGGGTCCTGCTCCTTCGGGTCCTTCGCCTTCGGGTCCTGCTCCTTCGGGTCCTGCTCCTTCGGGCCCTGCTCCTTCGGGTCCTGCCCCTTCGGGTCCTGTTCCTTCGGGCCCTGCTCCTTCGGGTCCCGCTCCTTCGAGCCCCCCTGCTCCTTCGGGTCCAGCTCCTTCGGGCCCTCGTCCTCGCCCTTCCTCGGGCCCTGCCCCTCCGGCTCTGGCGAGCTGAAGACCCACTCGCAGCGCGCTGCCATGCCTGGATCCCCGACGCCCCCCTCGCGCACCTCCTCACTCTTCACCTTCTTCGCCGCGCCGCCCGCGCTGTCAGCGCCCTCGTCATCCTGCTGCAGGCGCTTGCACAGCGCGCGCCGCTCTGCGCCGAGGCCCGCGGAGAGCGCCGACTGCGCGATCACCCGCAGGGGCAGCGGCGGCATGCCTCTCTCGGTGAGCTGCGGGATGCGCAGCAACAGGTTGTCCGTGCGGGAGAACCCTGGAGGCAGCTCCCTCAAGCGGATCGTCAGCACGGGCTCCCGATCGCCCCAGAACTCTCGCACGGAACGCCTCTCTTCTTCGCTCATTGCGTCTAGACGCCTAGAGCGGCCCAGAACTCTGGCTGAGCGCAGGGGGGGGGGGGGCCAGGCAGCTGTTCCAGCCGTCGAGATGGCTACGGAAAGTGCGCTCAGTAGAACCAGGGCTTCAGATGCCGCGTCGGCCTGCAGGTGCAATGCGCAACGCCCCGTCGGGCCCCGTCGGTGAGTGCCGCATCGGCGCAGTAGGAGTGGATGGGATTGGGTTTGGATGTCAGATGCGGCGCCAGTGCACCTAGCTTTGTCCCCCCCATTCGCCCCCCCCCCCCCCCCCCCCCCTCACCTCATATCTCTATCCCGCTTTCCTTTTTGTTACCTCAGTATGTGTACATCCAAATATCTCGATACACCTGCCTATATGTCGCATATCTGTCTGTCTGGATATGTATCTCCATCTCTCCCATTTATACACATATATATGTATCATCTCTATATACCTCTATATATCTACACTTCTAGCTATACAACCGGTATATATCTCGAGGTCTCTCTCTCTCTATATATATGTACATATATGCATATATGAAAACAAATTGGGCCATGCACCGGGGCGCTCTTGCCATTATATACCCTCCTCCACCTCCGTGGCCCTCTACATATGTACATATGAATAGATATGTCTATATCTCGCTCTCTCTCTCTCTCTCTCTCTCTCTCTCTCTCTCTCTATATGTTTCTTCTCTCTGTCCCCCTCTCCCCCTGTCAACTGCAGCCCTTCCTCTTCTCATCCCTCCTGCCTGGGCGACCCCCGACGCCCCCCCCTGCCCGCCCTTGCATTGGGTGCCCCTCCCCGATGTCGTAGGGTTGCCGCCTCCATCCGTCCTTCTCCGCTTCCTCCCCGCATCCCCGCCCCCGTCGTGTCCCCGACGGCCCTGGCCGCCCAGCCTCATCAGCGCCCGCCGCCCCCCCTGCCTTGCGCCGCGGGCCAGGACGCCCAGCACCGCCACCGCTGCTGCTGGAGGAGTTCTTCTGATATATTGAGTGGTGCGCCTGGGCAGGGGGGTCGGCCGTCGCCCGGGCAGCGCGGGGCAGAAGAGGCGGGTGGCCCCCCTCCCTACGCGGTGGGTGACGAGAGGGGGGGGGGGGAGGCGGAGGGGGATGGGGGGTGGAGGATGACGGCGATGATAAAGAGGAGGGGCGCGAGGAGGAGAGGGCGGCGGGGGGAGGAGGATGACGAGGAGGGGGAGGAGGGCGTCGAGAAGGGGAAGGGGGAGGTGGAGGGATGACAGCGGGAGGGGGAGAAGGAGGGGAAGGCCGACGAGAAGGAGAAAGGGAATGATCGAGGGGTCAGGTCAGGGGGGGATCGCCCAGACACGAAGGATGACGCCATGGCGCCCCCACCTCCACTTCTGGTCCACTTTACCTCCATCCCACCTTCCACAGCGGCCTTGCGGCCCCGGGAGGTTCGGCAGCTGGACGGCTGCGAGTTCTTCACCGAGGACTGCCCGTGGCCGGCGCGGCTGGGCCCCCCCCCCCCCTCCCTCCCTCCCCCCCTCCCTCCACTCCGCCCCCCGAGTTCCCTTCCCAGTCCCCTCCCTTCCCTTGCCCCCTCTTTCAGTGTCCATCCGCTATATGATGTTCCGCCCTTCCTCTACCTTCCCTCTACCCTCCCGCCCCTGCCCCCCGTCCCTGCGTCCTCCGCCCTTCCCTGCCCCTTCCGCACTTCCCTCCCCGCCCTCAACCGCCCTCCCCGTTTGGCGCTGGGCCCCGGCAGGGGGGCGCGAGGAGCAAGAGGGGCGGGGGGGTGAGGGGCAGTGAGGGCGAGGGGGATGGGGGGCGCACAGGAGACTAGGAAGAGCAAGCGGGGAGAGGGAGAATGAGGAGGCCGCGCCGCAGTCGAAACCATTGGATGCATGTGCATTGTTTGTGCATTCATTGCACAGTGTAACAGTGGTACGCACGTGTATGTGCATTGCATGTAATTGCATTGCAGCCTTCATGTGCAGTGCGTCTGGGCGTTGCAGTATACGCGGGTACGCTTGTGCATGTGCATTGCGAAGACCGTCTGCCTGTCCAGGACATGGCGGCGTCCATGTCGCTCAGCGGCTGCATGTGCATTGCTTGTGACATGCGCCTTCGTTGCACAGTCTACAGTGGTACGCACGTGTATGTGCATTGCATTTAATTGCATTGCGGCGTTATGTGCGGTGCGTCTGTGCATTACAGCCTACGCGGGTACGCTGACGCTTGTGCATGTGCATTGCGTCTGCCCGTCCAGGACATGGCGCTCGAGTCCAGGAAGTCCCTCATCGCTGACTTCCTGGTGGACAACCGCATGGTTGCTGATGTGTACAACGGGCAGGTCAAGACCGTCAAGATTGCAGAGCTGATCCTGAAGCTCTTGGGCTACGAGCCCGACCCGCACGGGCCGATGTCGAAGCTGGGTATGCGGGACAATGTCAAACGGTACTTGGCAACGCTCATACTTCAGCGGCCCGACGCTGCCAACTTGCGGATGAGCGAGTCCTCCTTCGACGTCGACCTGCTGCCAGTGGTGCTGCATCACTTTACATCCACCGAGTACTCAGCCGCAGTCATGGACTCGATCTTCCACATGATGGGCCCCCCGCCAGCAGACCGCAGTAAGAGGAGGTACTCGCGGCACGAGGGGTTGCCGACGTTGCCGACGGCGCCGCTCGCGCCGCTGGCGGCCCCAACGGAGGGCGTCGCTGACGCCGCCAGTGTGCCTGCCGCCAAAAGGGGCGCGGACGCGCTGGTTCCATCTGCTGCGCCCGACTACGGGCAGCTGGGTAATCACCAATTGGTCCAGCTGCTAGAGAAAAGGGACGCGACCATCGTCGAGTTGAAGAACGAGCTGAAGAGCGTGCGGAAGTCACGCGACAGGCAGATGCAGCGCTTGGCGAAGCTCGAGTGGCACTGCGACACGCTGGAGAAAGACTACGCAGCCCTCGTGCTTAAGAGCAGCTTTCGCCATGGTCCAGGAAAGGTTCCCGTGGTGGCAGGGCACGCGCTGGCATCGCGGAGGAACGTCGCGCACGCGGGGTGCCTCGCGACGGTGCGGATGCTCACGGGCGTCGACGAGCCAGGCTCTGTGAAAGACAAAAACATTGTCGTGCGCTTCGAGCACAGGTTGTCGGTTGCCAAGGCGCTGCGCGCGCGGGCGTTTCATGGGGACAGCTGCGCTGGCGCGGCCGAGCCGACTTCCGTCTTCGAATGCTACCTGCTCAAGTGCGACG